GCCAACATAGAGGAGCTTTGGTGGATTCTGCAACTGTCTACAGTGATGCCAGAAAATGGCTTACATTGCTAGTGGAGTACTGAGAATCCATTGCCTTATATTTCAGTTTCAAAACTCTTACACAAAGTGCCATCATTCCCTCAGGCCTGATGCGTGCCATTTGTGCAGACATCTGCTGCCTGTCTATTGTGTTCTGTCTGAGCTAAGACAACAGATCGGCCTAGAAATTTATGTTTTATTGTCAGGAAAGCCGTTATGATGGTTGTGCTGGTTGGTTTGACTTGTAACTTTGAAACCATTTCATCTGCTATTTTTCATACTGTAATTCTTAATATCTGAAATTTCTACCAAATGCTTTCAGATGAAGTCTGTTCTCTTCCATTTTCTATCAGGTTTTGTCCATTTGTTTTCTCTAGACAGTAGAAGTTGGAAGAGAATTTTAGAAAGAGATTGTGTTTCTTTTGATGTTCACAGCCATTCTATAGTCTACAGTCTGAGAAACAAAGAGAAAACACACACACACACACACACACACACACACACACACACCCCAAATAGCAGTCACAAAACAAGCCTTATTACTCACCCTCAGGTCAGCCTGTTCAACAAACGCTCTTACCAACTGTCAGGTCCGGCAGGGCGTGGCATGGGAAAGACAATGTGGTCAGTGTGTAACCTGTTTAGAAGGTTCACGCGGCCTAAGGAGCCTGACTCATGGCAATTTCACTGATTTTTAAAGCATAAGGGTCCGATCTCCTAGATCAGTAATGTCCTCAAAACGAATGTAGAAGTGTGAGGAGAGTTTGTGTCTGTTTAGCTGGTGTGTGACCAGAGATGTTCGGTGACTGGTCTTGGAGTTGCTGGGTCGTGAAGGAGCCCTTTACACGTATTACACTTATATTTCTATGAGTTAAATCCATTTTGTTATGAGAATTTGGCTGACACTCTCAACAGACCTTTACACGACCTACCCACTGATTGTTGGCATAGATTCTGTAGGCTTGGGTGGTCATGTTTTTCAGGGATGAACTCTCCATCCAATCAGAGTCGAGAGAGGCAGCAGATCACGGGCAGTGCGAAAGAACATGGGTGTGGGCTGTGCCCCTAAACACTGCCTCCCTGTGTATTCTCCACCCAGTCCTGCAACCGTGTTTTCTACTAATTTTCTCAGATGATAAAACGTGAAGTGTTTCCCTGTCACCTGCCTTGCCACGGGAACAGGGAGGAGAGTCAAATCAGATCCATCTTCACGTGCTGGATCTTCTCAGGAGGGGCAGGTGGTACAGTGCTCGTCAACTGACTAACGATGGAATCGTTAATGAAGAGATTTAGTGCCCCAACACTGATCAGCGAGTCTGGAACGCAGCTAGGAGGAGACACAGCTCAGATGTCATGTCTCACTGCCCATTCCCCTACGTAATGGTTCTGTGTGGTTGTTCATCTATAGACTCACGCCTCTAAACTAAGCACGCACCTATACAAGCAAGACACGGCTCCCTACGTCTCCACACATCTCCATAGGCTGCTGGTTTTAGGTGGCGGCCAGTCAGTGCCAACTCTGACCTTATGTCCGTTTATAAATGTGATTTTAGGTAAATTTAGGTTTTGGGTTATACATAAAATTAATTTTAAGGTGAAATAAATTGTGCTGGCCAAAAATCTGACCCATCTCCCACCCCACCCCCGCCAAAAAAATTCTCAAGTGTTTATTTCCTGTTCATACTCGTTGTCCAATGAGTCGGTGGGAAGTTCTGCTCTTATACATAATTTCCCTTTGGAGACCCAGAATGAGCGAATAGGAGCTTTCTAGTCACAGAAATAGGGAGGACGAGAATCTCAAAGTTTCCACTTTAGGAATTTTTAAGTTTCCACTTATCTCTATTCCTAGTTTATTGGCCAAACTGAGTCATACATATGTCCCAGCCTGACATTTGGGAAGGGGGGAGGAGGATCATTATTCTACACGTATGTGACATCACAGCTATCCTCTCCAACACTAACTGGTAGCACGTACAGTTTGGGTCCCTTACATTGGACTTTCACTCTCTTTCTTGGGGCTCTTTGCTGATCTCCTGTAAGAAAGATACCGGTGATGTTCCAAAATCTACTTCACCAGTTTTTGAAAATCATTTAGCCTTCTATAATATCGCTGGCTGATTCACTTCTAGGAAAGATATCATTCAGATTCATCCTCTGGGATCCTTTCCATAAATGTATACAAATTTGGTGAGTCCACTTTTCAAGGAAATAAGTTAACTTTGGGTTGGTATACATTCAGTTACAGCAAAACAGTTTCTTCATCTCATTCCAGCTAGTCCCTTCGTGAAGAATTGCCCTACATATTCAGGAAATATGACCCAATGTTGAGGACTGTAATACAGTTGGGACAATTTAAAAGACAGGACTCGATGTATACTTATTAAATATGTGTGCCTGCATCCTCTTTTAGGTCCTGGACTAATATAATATACTGATGGTTATTTTACTTTGTGATGCTAAAGGGCTTTTCCATAACAGAAAGTGGAAGTTTATTTTGTTTAGATAATCAACTAAGCCAACAAGTAAAACACGACCCCTCCTGACTGGTCTCTCATTAAAAGGGCTATTTCAAATCAATTGTTAAAAAGTCCGATGCACAAAGTAGGGGATTCCTAGGACAATCTACATTAAGAAAGCAAACTGATAAACAGTCCTATCTTTTAAACTGTCCCAACTGTCCCAAATAGATGTTTGAAATTTTCATCACAAAACACATTAAACTAGCTATAAATTAATAATCAAATATTATCATATTGGACACAAAAACATCACATCAAATACCATACCATCCAAACCAGCTTTAAAATACACCATACCAACAAAGCCCATTGCCGTCAAGTTCATTACAATTCATAGAGACCCTTTCAGGCAGAGGAGGACTGTGCCGGAGGCCTTCTGAGACTACACATCTTTCTGGGCATCGATAGCCCCATCTTTCTCCTACAAAGCAGCCGGTGGGCTTAAAGAGGCAACGTGGCCATTAACAGCTCAGTACATAATCCACGACATCACTGGGGTTCCTTCTAGAATAGCAGAGCAACTGCAAATTAAAAAAATGGTCAGTATCCGAAAAATTAAAAAATTATCTTATGTTTTCTTTCTTATTAAGCAAAAATCAATTTGCCTTTATGAACTAACTCAAATGCACGTTTATGCTAATAGAATGAGGAGTTCTAATGGGCAATTCCTTTAAAAGGTTCATTTTTTAAGCTAGAGTAATCAATGATAAGATTATTAGGAGAAATTAAGTTTATTTTAGAATGAAAAGAGAAAACTAAAACGAATGATAGAAATATGCTATCTCCTTTGTAGCTTACATGTCTTAAAGATGACAGGAATATTTAATGATTCGCATGCACACAATAGCTACAATGATGGCTCATGGTCACATACATGTAGAAGATAAAAACAGATTACCAGATGTATTAATCAACAGGATTTGTGTGAATGCAGTGACCAGGTAGTGTTGCTTTCTGTAGGGAAGCGCCATGTGAAATACACTGGTGTGCGCCTTTGTTAGGAAGGAAAGCCTCCACTAAGCGGAGTCTTGTTCTTCTTCCTAGGATGGGCTCCTTCTATGCCCCCTGCCTCCCTGGCATCAACATTCTTCGACTGCACACATCCATGTATTTCCAGTGCTGGGCCGTGATGTGCTGCAATGTCCCCGAGGCCAGGGTCTTCAAGGCTTCCAGATCGAATAACTTCTACCTGGGCATGTTGCTGCTCATCCTCTTCCTGTCCACCATGCCGGTCTTGTACATGATCGTCTCGCTGCCGCCGTCTTTTGACTGCGGTCCATTCAGGTGTCTCAATTTTGTCATTCCATGTGGGCACGCTTTTCTTCCCAGGGTGGAGGGACATGGGGGGAGGGGGGTGTCTACGTATTGAATAAGCTGTATTTTATTTTCAAATAATAGTATTTGCATTACATAGAAATGAGATCCTTACAGTATCTGACATGAAGATCGAGTCTTGGGCACGTCCCATTAGTTTCTCATGTGAGAATTACAGTCGCAAATATAATTGAATGTTACAGTCCCTGCTTAGATAAAGTACGGAGGGTGAATCAGAACCATTTCCTTATTTGGATATAAATAAGAGGGTTTTTTTTTTTGTTTTTGTTTTTAAATAAGAGGTTTTATTACATTAGTCTGGATGTGAACGTTTTCCTGAGACTAGGCTATTACATACAATACGCTATTGCTACTTCTCACATGGCCTGGTGGGAGTTGAGACAATAATAAACTGCCCCACAAACTACTGACCAAGTGGAATGATTATTATAGTATAATAAATAGAATGAGAGCCACAGAATTTATAAGCCAAAACACAACTTGCTAACAATAAAACTGAATAATGTCCCTCATTTGTCTTCACCTCAAATAGCAGGGCTGCATCACTTGAGTTAGTAATGACGAGTTAAGGGGCTCTTTGACCCGAGGGTGGGCGTACATTTCCAGTCTGGCTCCACAGACGGTTTTCTGTGGCACATACCAGTGGCAGCTGGAGAGTTGGGCTTTTATTTCTTCCATATAGAACCCAAACGCTCTCTTCGTCTCTAGCCACTAGGTACCATGCCCCTGAGTTAGCGCTCCTTTTCAGTGAAGAATGCTTGAATGTGAAATGCAAGGGTAATGACACCAAATGGACCACCCACACGTAATCTCTTCACGCTCGGTCTTAACTTACTAGGTCTTAACTTACTAAACTCAACAAGTTCTTTGCCTATCCACCAAGGATGTCTGGAAGAGGCATTTCCACTCTCATAATCGCATGAGTGGTTATGGATTTGTCAAGAAATGTTTACCCAGTGGGGAGCGCTGGAGTTCTGGCATGTTTAGGAGGCTGTGAAAATTCACTGCCATCGAGTGGGTTACAACCGGGACTGGGCAGAACTTCCCTGAAATTTACGGGAATAGAAAGTTTCAAGTTCCTTCCGGTAGTTTCAAACGGCTGACCTTGTGGTTCGAAGCACAACTTGCAACATCTAATGCCACCAGGGCTCCTTTATATACTCCTTCCGTGTATTGCTTTGTGTTTCCTTCACGCTCCTCGCCAAGAGGCTGAAATGATGTAGACGATGACATCTGCAGGCTAAATATGAAACTGCAGTCTTGAAATACAACGCCTTTTACAAATCACCAGACACCGAAGTGCCAGTTAGCCATGTCAATATTTCAGTTCATTGCAAACTACTGTTACAACTTAACACCCAGGTAATGTCTTTGGTGTATGTTTAACTTTTTAATAGGCCCGTGGACCTTTCTCAGTAAAACCTAGGAAAGGACCTCAGCCATCTATATGGGAAACCACTCAACCTGAAAATGAACCTAAATGATTGGTTACAGAGAGGCATTCAGATTCAAAATGTCCTTAAGCTGGACACGGACAACTCTGCTCCGTGTCGGCATGTTGACCTTTAACTGCTGCGATTTTCTTTACGCCAAAGACCAAGTCACTCGGAGTTGGTTGGAAAAAGTCGGTCTGTAGGGAAGGCTTCATATCTCACATTGACGATGTGTTTCCTCACAGCAAGCAAAAGCAAAAAACAAAACACATATTCCATTATTTTGAGGTCAGAAAATGGTAAATACGTCTTGGAGAATACCAGGAAAGGATGTCTCTGTCGCATTTAGATAGTCTTTTTTGGTCCGAAAGAAAATTTGCCTTGTTCATGTACTTTTGATGTAAAAGTTGGAAAGTGTTTTTCTGCCCCAGGAATGAATAGAAAATGCTTATCATCTTTGGGGACTCCGAGTTTGAAAGGATTTTCCCAGCCTGCTCAGTAAAGGTCATCGAACTCGACCGGCCCCTTGTGTGGGGAGCGGATTGGCAAACATGATTTGAAGGGCTCATGGAGACAGCAGATCATGAGCGGTGTTGGTGTTAGGTGTCGAATCGGTTCCAACAACTCTATGTACAACAGAATGAGACCCCGCCTGCACCATCTTCCCAACTGTCATGTTCAAGACCGCTGTCGCAGTCACTGTGGCTTTCATGTTGTCAAGAGACTTGTTCACCGTCTCTTCACGTCACAAGCAGGTTGTGCGTTGCCAGGGACTGCTCTCTCCTGATAACATGTCCCAAGTATGTGAGAAAAAAGTCTCGCCATCCTTGACTCTAAGGAGCATTCTGTACTTCTTTCAAGATAGATTTGGGTGGGCTTTTTTTGCATTCCATGGTTTAGAGTCTTGGAAAACTGTAGGGAGCAGTTCTACTCTCCCCTATTGAGTTGCTATAAGTCAGAATCAACTTGATGACAGCGGGTTCTACACACTATCTCTTTTTAGTTATTTATCACATCTCTTGCCCAGGTTTCAAAATGGGTGCTAAATATTTTGTGATCACCTAATATTTATGAACAGTACATTCAACCCCTGTAAAGATTTGTCAGCTCAGAAGCCCAGAGGGGCACTTCTACTCCGTCCTTTTGAATTGCCAGGAGTCGCAATTGGCTAGGTGATAGTGAGTTCCATATATATACGGACAGCTATGTATTCTGTATAGATATTCCACACATATATTCCATACATTCCATATATATGGACATATATATTCCACACATGTGGACAGATATATATTCTGTATATATGTGGAATATATATGGACAGATATATGTTCCATATCTATGGACAGATATATATCCTGTATATATATTCCATATCTGTACGGACAGATATATTCCATATATATTCTGACAGATATATTCTGTGTATATATTCCACGTATATGGACAGATATATTCCATAGATATATGGACAGATATATATTCCAGGTATATATTCCAACAGATATATATTCTGTATATATATTCCATATATATATATTCCGACAGATACGAAAGGACTTAGGGAGTACTATGACCTAATCCAACCAGAAAAATGGGATTCCAGGTTTTATAGATACTCCTGTAGTTTGTATATAATTAAGAGACTCAGGTTCCTTGTTAGGATAAGAAACATGCCTGGAAAATAGACCCGAATTGGATATTAAGACTTTTGTGGGAAGGGAGTATTTTATACAATTTTAGTCCCCTCTGACCCATTCATCATTAGCCTTGGAGCCTATAGAAAGGAGGATGACTTCTTTCACCCTTTCTGGTCCTCTTTGCCTATATATGGCAAGCAGGAAACACGGGCAAGTAAAATGTGATGATGAATAAGAAGAAATCCAGTGGTATGTAGGCTTAATTCCTGCTCATATATCTGTTTTTTTTTTAAGTGGGAAATAGATTCAGATCATGAGGTGAATCACAGTAGACTTCCCACCAAGGGATTTTCCATGGCTAGGATCTTTCCAAAACAAATCACCAGATTTTTCTACTGAGATACTTCTGAACTAGCAACCTTTTGGTTAGTAGCCAAATATTTAACCATTTGTATCCAAAATCTCGGTAATTAGAATGTAAATACATCATTTGTGAAGTCAGGTGGACCCTTTATTTTGTGGACCAGTGACTCTTAAGAGATACTTAGAATCTTTCAGCTTATTGAAAGATCCTACCAGTAATGTCAGGAGAGACACAAATTTTGGGTTGAGAAATGTAGGTCATGCTCATGTGTGGGTAAAATATTTAAGAATGAAATTCAAAACATTATATTGGGTTACATGCCAAACTTTATCCTGGTGCTACATGAAATTTTGCAGCAGCAAAAAAAGCAATTCAATAGCTTTCCCCAAATTAGTTCTTTTCACAGTTGAATCAGTATGCATATGTGTAAAAAAAGTAACTTGACCCCATAAACATGACTTTACAATTCTGGACACTCCATGCTAAGTTAAAATGAACACCCTGTTCTCATCTCTTCAGTGATAGTGGCTGATTCTCAGCTTCATGGATTGCAAATCAACTCATTAAGGACCTTTGTTTTTAGGCTTATTTTCTTTCTCTTTCCACCTTGTCTTCTTGAATATAGAGCTAAGGTAGCAATTATGAAAATCCATCCAGGAATAGACACATTGAAAGGAAAAATGTTTATTCATTCCCTGCTCTGAATTCTGATGGAAAGTGAGGTGAAAGCTAATGGGTGAAATGAAATACTGGATTATTTACGTATTTTATTTCATGAAACCTTTTCTATGCTTATTTTTAAGTTAATAAAAACATGAGTATGCTCTTTCCTCAGCCGATAAAAACAGCTGGTTAAGGGGCATACTTATAAGCTCTCTGCAAAATATATTTCAATCAGAATCATAGAAATATATTCAAACAAACAATCAAACAATATCAACCAACGTTTAATGCTCTAATCAACTTTCTAAGTATGGTGGCTACATAATTCATGTCCTATCTATGGGCCGAGAAGCTGAGGGCAATATATCAGCTAGTCAGGGGTGGAAAACGATTTCAAATTTACTTCTTATTGGTTTAGCCTATGCTTAAATAAATGAAACACTTCACCTCTCTGGATCATGAATCATTGGGATTCATAGGGGTGTGTTTTTGACGGATTTTTGAAAGTCGATTTCTAGTCCCTCCTTTTTCTTGCTATAGCTATACTTCCCCCACATTGTAAATTAATCCCCGCCCCCCTTTTTTTTCTCTCCCCATCAGTGGCAAAAATCGGATGTTCGAAGTCATTGGTGAGACACTGGAGCATGATTTCCCCAGCTGGATGGCGAAGATCTTGAGACAGCTTTCCAACCCTGGACTGGTCATCGCTGTCATCTTGGTGATGGTGTACGTGCCTTCCCTACTCCTAGAGAGTCTGCGCAGTGACTGTCCCTGGACCCTTGTGGTTGCAGCCTTCTCTAGCGCTCTCCCTTGCCCCACACCTGTGCTGAAACCTAACCAAATTCAGCCCTGCTTCATGGGAGTGAGAGACTGAAAGTCATCAATTCCAATCCTAGTGGTTGTGATTTGTAGCCATCTGCATCTGTGTTTGCCTCCCTAGGATTATAAGATTCGTTCCCAAGGAACCAAAATAATTATCAGTAAACAGTGAAAGCATGGGAACATAAATGCTAAATGCGAACTCTAATCAGCACATGGAGCTTGCCGCCCCACTAGTTCCATAAAGCAGATGGCTGTGAATACACAGAAATGATGAGTCTTGAAGTTAATAAGCTATGTTGTTGGGCTAAATGCCCAAGGGCCTGAAGAAATCCACTCATCATATCCCTACTGAGTTCCTAGAGGGTCACTGAGAAGCGTGGTGCATGCACCAAAAGAGTCAGGGAGAAGGTCCACTAGGCCTTCAAAGTCAGAGGTGTATCAAGGAGACCTTGGGAGGAAGGTTTTGTTCTCATGTTATCTTCATCAGCTCTGAATCATGGCTGTAGTAGATAAATTTATATTCTAAGCAGTAGTGTACGCTTGCCCGTGGAAGAGCAGAAACATGCTCCAATCTTCCCTTTTCCTCTTCATGCCCCTCCCAAATAGAATGTCGGAACCCATCACTGGTGCCAGAAACCCAGAGAGACTTTAGAAATGAAAGCCAAGTTATCCTTATAATCATTGTCATCATTGTTCTCATGAATCTTAATAGGCATGGAGGGCAAGTATGTTAGTCTGGGTACTTTAGAGAAACAAATCCACAGAAACTCATGTGTAAGAGAGAATTTTATATAAAGGTTAAGTGCACATTAAGAAAATATCCCAACCTAGTGCTGCCCAAACCCACAAGTCCAACATTCACCCATTAACCCATATGTCTGACACCAATCCACAAAGTCCTCCTCCATCTCACAAAACACACCCAATGGTGCGGACTGTAGCAGGAAAGCTGAATCAGTCATACAGCACCCAGGGCTGCATCGGGGTAGGTCCATGTGGCTTCTCCTTGAGGATATCTTGCAGGAAGTGAGCCTTGCCAGCTGAAGCAGGGAACTGGCTAAGGCAGCTTCACCCTGGTCCGACCATCACAAAGCAAGAAACCCAAGAACTAGAAAGGTGAGGCTCACGGAGCCATTTATCCCTCTGCCCTTCAATTAATCCCATATGTATTTATCAGCCAGGTTGGCACAATAACCTAACTACCTCAGCAAGTGTCAGGTTCTTTAAATCTATAAATCGAGCAAACAACTTATAGGAGTCCAGTTATTTTACCTAGATGAGGAAGGCACTGGGATAGGACTCAGAGAAGATCATTTAATGGCAAGTTCAGTGCTTATTCATTTACATCGCAATGCCTTCTAGGAGCAAGAACTAATGGCCCATAGGAATAGTTGAACAATAAAGCATATTATTACCAATATACCTTACCTACACAACCTCCATCCTGACTTTGTACAAATGCATAACACACCTCTGGGGCAGATGCCTTAAAAATGACCTGCTGCAGTTTGTTTCACCAGATGGCTCTTAAAATGATTTCCTCTCTCCGCATTTTCATGAGACAGTGGCTTCTGAGAGCATGTTAATAAGTATTTTTGTGGCCTTTCACAGTTAAAGTCCTTTACTGATATAATTTCATCTTAGGGTCAAACAGGTTGATGTGCTTGGCTACTTATGAAAAGATTGGTAGTTCAAGTTCACTCAGAGGCCTCTTGAAAGAAAGACCTATTGATCTGGTGCCCCAAATTCAGCCATTTAAAACTCTAAAACACAGGGCTATTCTGATACATAATAGAGTTGCCTTAAGTTGGAATTAATTCATTGACAACTAAAATTTTTTTGCGTGTGGGATATTTAAGGTCTTGTTCTTTGAAGTAGCAAACCCCCCTCAAAGCTTAAATGTTATAAACTTCCTTAAAGATCAAGGTTTTTTCAGGAAAGGCATACTACAGTTCTGATAGTCTCAGGCGTAGGCTAAAGAAACAAATACTGATTAGTGCACTGTCATCATTCCAGGCACCACCCATGCATTAATTCACTTACTCCTCACAGTGAGGTTGGCTTCGTTAATCATGTTACTATAGTACATGGAAGCTGTAAGTAGTTCAACATAAGCCGCTAATAAGTTTGATTCACATGCATGTCTCATATTTTCTATTTCATATGCTGCTCTGATTTTTGAAGAATAACATACTGTGTACATGGTTGTGGGGTGTTCAGAAGGGCAGATAACCACTTGCCAGGCATAGTGGAGACCTAGGGTTTTCACAGGAGCCCTCATGGCAGAGTGGTTACATGTTGGGCTGCTAACAACAAGGTCACCCATTCAAGCCACTAGCGGCTCCATGGGGAAAGACAGGGCTTTCTACTCCCTGAAGATGTGTAGTTGTAGTCTCACCCCCACAGACGCTGTTTCACACTCTCAGAGAGAGTGAGGCACTACGAGTTGGTCTCAACTCAATGGCAGTGAATTTGGAGATTTTTTGGAGGGCTGACACACTTTATTGGACAAGTGTAGTTAAGCATAGATATGGACAAGACAGGAGATATTTCAGGCTTATGGACTAAGAAGTAAGATTTTATGTAAGTATATATATAAATACAAAAAACATTCTTAGTTTGTGGGCCATACAAAAATAACAGCTGACCAGGTTTGGCCTGGAGGTCATAGTTTTCATATCTTGATATGGAGGGGGCCTCAAAAATTTTGTGTAAAAATAGAATTTAAAAATCTATTTTTAAATTTCCACGAACTCTTTGAAGCCCACTTGCATCGTCTCATAGAACATTAACCACATGCTACCAAGTCATTTCTGACGTATAAAGAATGATATAGGTATGCTAGACAATAATTGTGTCTTGTAGAGTTTTCGATGGCTGAGTTTTTGGAAGTACATAATCAAGAAAATAGTCCAAGGCACTGAGAGGTGGACTCGAAATGCCAAACTTACAATTAGCAATATGACACTATATTAACTAACTCTACCACCCAGGCTAGACTAAAATAGGCTAGGAAGACAGGCCTGGAGATTTACTTCTGAAAAATCATCTAAAGAAACCTCTATAGATTCCAATGTCCTCATATGTAAGGGTCCATGTGAATGACATAGAGGTGGACAATATTCCATTCCCTTGTGCATGGAGTGACCATGAATTGGGAGCCCATATCAGAGGTGTTGACAACAACCAAGAGGCAATTTGGCAGCATCTTCAGAGTTTAAGTTAGTTCTGAGGTTCTGATATAAAACACAAATTTCAGTGCATTACTGATTTGATTTTTGAGTTCCTAATATCTTATTCTAAGAAAGAGCTCTGGGAGATGAGTGCTCAAGTTGGAAGACAATCAAAATACGATGAGGGAGAGACGCCTCCTCAAATTAGAGTGTAACACCGTGATGGGGATGGAGCAAAGT